GTCGTAGGCGTGGAGCGTCAGGTAGTTCAGTAGTTTAGAGCAGTCGCCCGGCAAGCGAAAGACCCGAGTTCGAGTCCCGGCCTAGCAAAACCGTGCTCTCGATATTTTTCTCTCTCTGGAACGAAAAGATATGCAGATCTCGAACGCACGGCGTCCCGCCGCCACCTAGTATGGCCTCCTTCTTCTACGGTTCCCTTTAATGAAAGATGAATATGCTTTCTGTAAGATATTTCTTTTAAAACATGGGGTTAGAAGAAAATTCACTTTGTACGTAGAATACTTTTTCTGGGTGCAGAGTCTCCGTGGTTACTCGCTCAAGATTAAAATTAATACTGTCAATTTCAACTACCCGCGTGCCCGGATCTTTCGGATGTCACTCGAATATATTAATTCGAAGGATTCACGTCTATTTGGATTGAGAGAGAAGGCAACTTCATTGCCTTTGTTTGTGTCTTTTTTCACATGAGCAACTCGCGACTAAAATGAATTTAATGAATATTAAAATAACTCGATATTTCCAGAATATTCATTTCTTTCAACAATAACAAATAACGAATGAATGCATTGCGAAAAGAATATTGTAGTAAAAATACAATTTTAGTACTCCGGGAATAGATTATGACTAAAATTATAATAAAACATAATAAAAGAGACTATGAACATAGTAAAATTATAATAAGACATAATAAAAGAGACCATGAATATAGTAAAAATTAAGTGTAATAAAAATGATCATGTTTGTGATAATTTTTACTATGTTTTATTACAATTTTCATAATAGTGCCAGTCTATTCCCGGGCTACTAAAATTGTATGTTGTAATTTTTACTACAATATTCTCTCCGTGTATTTGTGATTTACTATCTAATTGCCCGGATAATACCCGCGCAGAGAAAAATGTCATTCAACTATGAGAGAAGCGATCACTCAGTTCACTTTTTTCCTTTTAAATAATGATTATCTTCAACAGAGAATATTTTTATGATAATAATTTTAGAATATACTCATAGCGAATTTTAGAAAAGCTCATTATCATATACTCAAAAGAAGACACTATTCTCCTTACTAGAGTATCATAAAATGTTACCCAAGAAATGTTGGCTTGACTCTATGCAAGCCAAATTTTTGTCTTAACTCAATATTCTTTATTTAAATGCTAAAAGCTTACTAAGATTCAGAACGTATCTGAATAAATTCGATGCTTATGAACTTATGAACTTATGCTTATGAACTTACGATAGATTTGTAGATATACAAATTTGTGAGACATTTGAAACAAGTAACATTTACTTCAGCGCAGTATGTATTTTTTCGTGTGCGCGAGGGTGGACGCCCGTGTTACACTGACATTAATTAAAAGCAAGACCACGTTGCATCGGTATCCCTCTGTTCGGGCAGCGCGAGCACGAGAAGTCTCGCTCTCGCTCGTTACGGGAAATTTTCACGACACGCGTTGCACCGGAAAGCTCCCGCGCCGATTCGAATTTCAATGCAAAACGTGAATCCAACGCGGAGGAACTTTAGTAAACCCGGCATATTATGCACATCGCGAGGCCACAGTAGATGTACTCTGCGGATTTTGCGCGAAGTGGAAAATTGCAATAGCTATTCGTGCTCGACGACGACGGCTTCGTCAAATCCCTCGTGACTTTCGCGTTCGCGGGACGACGCCCGCGACTATTCGCGGAGAGATTTTACGCGATGTTTTACGAGCGTGTGCGTATTGGATTTTTGTACGTGCGTAGCACGGCGGATGAGGTATTCGTACACAGCCGCGCGGAAAGGGGGGAAGGATAAATAAAAGTGCGCGGCCGTTAATTACGAGATAAGCTCACGCTACGCCGATCAAAGCTGCGACGATCTTTGAAGTGACTGAGTACGCGATAACGCGGGCCGTACTTTTTCCGCAAGCGGGAACATTGGCGATTTTATGAAAACGTACGAGAGAAAAATATGTGGCCGTACTCACCACATACGTAGCGTCTTGTCGCGACATTCCGCCCCGTTTCTGCACAGGCTCTGCGTTCCCTGAAAGCCAGTAAAATTATGCGCATTATACATGCTGTCTCACTTATCATCATCATCGTCGTCATCTCAAGTATCTCTTTCATAATCTATTTCTCGAATATCTCTTCTTGGCCGACGACGTTTCGCGTGACTGGTATTAAACGCCGTAAATTTCAGCTGCTCCGCGAATTTTCCCGCGAATTTCCATCGCGGCGGCAACTTTCACGATCGCGTTTAATTTTGCGAACTTTAACTTTGCGCGGAATTGCGTGGAACAGCGGAAACTTTTTTGGCACACCGATTGTGAACGAATAAATATTTATTCAGGGAGAGAGAGAGAAAGAGAAAGAGAATCAATTTTCAATATAATATTTTCGCGACGATTAGACTACGCGTGTGGTTATTTTGTCGCGGCAGCAACAGTGAAAAAGAACTATCGATGCAACGCGTCGTTTTGCATGTACAGCGATACGCACACACAAAAGCGACTATTTTGTAACGGCGGTTCTAAAAACACGCACGGCGAGCTTTTCCCCGGCATACGGTCGCGCGAGCAAGTGAAACGATCGTGGAATTTGAAAATCAAATCGAGAGAAATTGTTCGATTTCAGCGAAGAAGTGGTTGTCGTGTATAATCAACGCGAGTCGAAATTTTGATCCCACTTTCAGTCTTACTATTCCATTCAACAACTATATTTTGATACTCTGAAATCATCAACCTCTTTGATTCAACCTCACAAAACATCAACCTCTTTTGATTCTACTTAACCTGCTCGAGTCATTCAACACCAATCTTGATAATAAAACCTATAATACAGTGGCGTAGCCAGGGGGGAGACGGAAGAGGCTACAGCCCCTCCCCCCTCCCGAAATTAATTTTCTGAGTCACGCTAAGAGTGAGACAAATTTTTTCGAATGATCTTTTTTTTGCTCGTCAAAAATAAAAAAATACAGCCCCCCGAAACTTGTTTCTGACTACGCCACTGCTATAATACAACTTGTTTTAATATTAGAGAAAACGGAAAGGGAAATTTCGAACATCATCAGAGTCAAGGTAAGAATAAATTGTATCATTAGAACCTACTTTGCTAACTTAGCTCCTACCGCGTTGTAGAATTCAAGATTTAATATAAAGCGAGAATTTCGACTCGGAAAACACGAAAATCAATCGAAAAACACGAAAATCAATCCGAATAAGGAAGATGTAATACAAGCAAGCAGTCCAAATCGTCGCATCATTTTGTAATATTTTTGTTACTCGCTCGTTACTCGATAAATGCGATATCCCTGGCACACGCAAAAAACGAACTAGCTTCCAAAGCTAAAAAATAGCTGTGGCAGATAAGATGTGTCACTGAAATAAAGACAGCTAATGTCGATTCTACCGAAGCTAAATTTATTCGCTGTTAAACTTATGCGCTACAGCGAGAAATATTAGCTGCTAGAAATGACTGTGATAAATGATTGTAGCTGTACGGCAAACTTCTATAATATATGCATACGATAAGAAATTTAAGAATAACTGCCATTTTCTTAGCTACTTGAAATAATGCAATTTTAATGTCACTTAATATATTTATATTTCATAGCGAATGCATCTTAGCTATCATAGCCAATTCTTAACAGTGACGATTAGCCTTTTGACTAAGTTTGAATCAGCTACTGCGGTTTAGCTGATATTACTAAATCATTTTTTTACGTGCAGAACGGCGGGTAGAAGTAGAACTTTTTTTAGAAGTAGCGTTTTGTTCGTCGGCGATATATTTTGAGGGCTTTGAGATACAAATCCTAAGGGCCCCACGCGCCTGATTGAAAAGCAGGCTTTTCTACCGATCGATGTTGTCCGGAAGAACATCACTCGACAGCGGGGAGCTCCGTGATGAATTATCTCGCGAGGCTGTACAATGGTCCTCTGATTGATTGTACAGCGATCCAAACCACACCTCGGCGAGGTTCTGATGAAGAGCCAGAGCGAGGATGGGGAATAATTAAGGGTTTGTTGCGTCAAGGACCAGTCGATAGTTCTAATCGGAATGCTCTTTGTCCCGTGCATCGCAAGCCGGGCCGATTTGCAGTGCGTCGTATCGGCAAACAATCGGCATCCATGTCGGCCGAAGTAATCGGATTTATCCCGTTTCGTACGAGACGCACTGAATCGCGGGGCGGATCACGAGTCATTCGACAAATTGAACGTGCCCACTACGTACCGCGCCACTCGTTGTCAACTCAAGTCCGGCTTTGCCAAATGCTCCACGTCGAGGTGGCATAACTGCGCATGAGCGATATTGATGAGCGAGAGATGATTCTTTATTTCCTCCATCTTCAAATTAACTTCAACTATCCATTAAAATCGGATCAAAGAGGCTGCGTTGTGTTGAGAAAAAGAAGTAATTGAGAGATCCACAGAGAGGATGTAGATTTTTCATATAAATTCTTCACCATTTTATACTATATTTTTAGTGATACAGGAATAGATTTTATGAATAGAGTCTATCTCGTTAAAGAACGTACACTGAGAGAAAAAATATTTGAGAAAAGATATTTTTTGTGGCGAATATTAATGACGTATTTACTTGTACTAATATATATATATATATATATATATATATATATATATATATATATATATATATAATATTTTTCAAGAAAATATACATTTCTTTTAATGGAATTTTCTCTCATAGAAGCAATTATTTATTTCAGTTAAATAAAAAAATTTAGATGTAAGAGTATGTTATATCCCACACAACATAATGTCTAAAATCGGGACATAAGACATCTTAGAGATCATCTTTAAGATGTCTTTCAGACGATTTACGTATAACTATCTTTAAGACGTCTTAAAGATTATCTTTAAGATATCTTATGTCCCGATTTTAGACATTATGTTGTCTGAGTATATTAGTATTCAATAAATATTTATTGTTTACAAATATTTTTTCTCAGTATATTTTGCTGGGAACATAGCAAATTTTTTGACATAGCAAATGACGCTGTTGCTAAAATATAATTCGGGCCGTGAAATATAAATAGCACATATGAAATAAAAGGATAGAGTCAAACTACGGAACATCGATCTATTCCTCGGCTGTAAAATTGCAATTTTTACTGAAAAATTCTGTCCGTATATTAAGAGATCGCTCTATCAAAGTTTCAAGATTTTATCGATGGTATTCCTAGATTTTTCTAAGCGTAACAGAAAGTTCTGCATTCATACATTCAATTAGACGTAACAAAAGTTTTACATTCGCAAATTTATTCGTGCTTAACGAACGGCAAAAGGCATTAATTATTCGATATCTGAAAATTTAATTGTCTCGAGAACAATGCCTCGTTCCAGCAAATTTACGTTACATTTTTACTTCTGCGCGAACGGCGATCCGGTGAATGCCGGGATTGAGTCGCATATTTCTGACGTGCGGCGTATATGTACGTTCGCGGTAACTCGCGAATCGAGGCAAAACAACGCACAGTTTGTGCCAAACACACGGCTAAACGCGAAGTCGATACGTTCATATCGAAACGGAGGAGAGGGAGGGCCGCCCGTGCGATCAGTCATGCGACTGAATTCTCTCGGATCGGCTCGCGTAGTGTATATCGGTGCTTGACAGTTGGTGAACATCGTTTACTGGTGACAACGCTTAGACGCGTTTAGGTGTTGCTCATCATGTCCGTTGCGGAAACGACGTCGCCTACCGAAGACGACGACGGGGCTAAGATCCAACGGTCGAATCAGCACGTCGCCGCGCTCGTAGGTAAATTCGGTAAACGCCGCTCGTATCTGTCGCTTTTCGAGTCGTGGGACGACACTGTGACTTCAATGAGCGTATCAAACGACATGACACAAATCGTGACTCTTTCTCTCTTCCTCTCCTCACTTCTTTCTTTCTCTTTTTTTCTCTCTCTCTCTCTCTCTCTCTCTCTCTCTCTTCCTTTCTCTCTCTCTCTTTCTCTTCCTCGCAATTCTACGAGAGAAGAGAATTTAGATTTCACGTCGCGTGCGCTCGCGAAATAATTGCGCGCTGCGTTATTTTCTTCAACAGTCGCTTAGTTTTAACCCGTTTTTTACCCACGCGAACGCTCCGCCGTTTATTTCGGGGAAAGCTCACAACGGACAACCACGAGCACGAAGAAATGTCTGAGTGTCGGTAAATAGGGTGAGCTCTCGGGTGCTTAAGTAAAATTAATTAACGGCCTCGTGACTGCCGGTTACCAATTAGCGAGTTGACCAGCGTGACGGCATTGACCCCGGGAGAAGGATAAATAAAGAAAATGTCGGCGGGCAGCCACGACAGCCCGGAAAATGCACAGCAAACAATAGCGTTGTGAAAATGCGCGCGCGCGCGCAGGTGGTTGAGCGAGAGCGAAATAATTACGCAAACCCGGCCCGCACAATCGAGAAGCCGGAGTATGATGATGAAGAAATGATTAAATTGCGAGGGAAGAGCAGCCCGGCTCGCATGCTTTTGCCTCGCCAGTCTTCTCGAATTCTCCGTGTTTTGCACGAACTCCAGTATTTTCTTCCATTCATTGTGTAGAGAGTTCGCTGTCGCGAAGCAGAGCGAGAGATGATTCGCGAATTTATTCGCGGATTTAGCTAGAAGTTAACCAATTAACCGGAAGTCTTGACAATTTCGGCTTTTGATAACTTCAATTAGAATTTCTGACCAGTTTTCGTATTTCATCGGGAATTGTCTCGTCCAACTAAACTTTCTTTTCCCTGTGTTATATTTTTAATATATGCATCCTTCTCCCTCCCTCCCTCTTTCTCTTTCTCTCTTTCTCTCTTGAAAGGGACGCCCGTGTCTTCGTAATATCTGTAAATCTATTGATCACACGTGGCGGTTAACTCCCAATATACATTACCGTAAAATTCAGTCTTCCTAGTTCTCCGAAAAAGCAGTATTCTCTACGCGTTATTACGTATTCAAGAGGTATGCTCAGGTTCTCGATATTTGTTGCTCATGAAGCGGAGCATGCAAACTCAGTCTTGAATATGCAAGAAGTATCGATCCACATTTTTTTGATTACGCTACGAAACATTAAAAACACCCTCAACCCAAAATATATGCACAGTCATGATTCTTCACTCTTTTTGCTCTCCCTTTTGTGCTATCCCTATCTGAAAAGCCCAATTATTTTCATGCAAACAAAAAGGGCACACCACATATGCAATATGAAGCGCAACTCTACCGATAAATACAGAATCGCGTAATCTCAATGGGGTATTCGATCTCGATGACGATGCAACTGCAAGTCTCAAAAGAGAAATCTGTTCGCTTGGAATCGCTCGAAGAGCGATGCAACAATTTTAACGACACACGTCACGATCGATTAGAGCACTCCGCGCGCCCAATAACAAATCACGCGCTGATAAACAATGCTTTGGAGTAATTCCGGCGAGACATGTCCTCCGATCATCGGCCCCGCGCAATGCGGTGCGCGCGTAACAAGTTACGCGGAATGAATGTTAAATTGACATCCCTCTCTTGTGTGTCTCGTAAATCCAGCTTCCCTCGGCGGCTTCGCCCTCGGCGTCACGCTCGGCTGGAACTCCAGCGCCGGCAAGGTCCTGCGAGACGTCCTGTACGCGAGCGGCACGGAGATCGGCCTAGTCGGCGGCATCCTGAACGCCGGCGCCTGCGTCGGCGTGATACTCGCCCCTTTCTTTACCAAGTACCTCAGCCGTGGCGCAACCCTGCTCCTGACCACGCTGGGATTTATCGTCGGGTGGTCGTTCATCTGCTTCGCCGACCAGAAAGTATGCTCTCGCGCCGTTGAGTCCCAAGTCACGCCAAAATGTCGAAATTGCGTACGACAGACCGCGCGAAATTAAAATCAGGGTAATTAAATTAGTTCTTCATCGCCGAATGAATCTCGGTCGTAAGCCTGATGTCACGAATTCCGTTGTCTCATCGTGGAATTTCACTTTGAAGCCAGCTGAGATAACGACGAGTTCGCTACACGGAGAGAATGTCGTAGTGAAAATACAATTTTAGTGATCCGGGAATAGATTGGCAATATTACGAAAATTATAACAAAACGTAAAATTCTAAAATATTTCTGTCGTTTTTAATATTAGAAAAAAAATATATGTAAGGGAAAGATTATACTATAAATATAATAATTTTTACTGCATTTATAGTAATTTTTATTATATCCATGATCACTTTTACTATGTCTTATTATAATTTTTACCACAACGCCAGTCTATTTTCGGAGTACTAAAATTGTATTGTAATTTGTACTATAATATTATCTCCGTGTACGACGCTTGGCGATGCGCCAATCTTCAATAAGGAACCGACGTCGTGAATAGTAGCAAGGATCAATGAAAATTTTTTTTGCTCAGAATAATCGGCAAATCGATGATCAAAATTGATCAGTCGTCGTGTATATAATCACAAATCACAAATAATCTTGCCGATCAGTGAAACTAATAATTAATCGAATTCTGATGTGATCGATTATACATTGATTAATAGTTAATTTCGCCAGTTGATTGAATTAATCGTGATTTTACACAGGGTGAGTCACCTAACGTCAGATTCTAAAATATCTCTATTGTTTTTTGTATTAGAGAAAAATGTGTAAGAGGAATAAACTGTGCAGTTGGAAGAAATGAATGTATAGTGGCCAGAGAGCGGAAACATTTTCACCACGTAAAATCTTTACATATATTTCCCTCTGACACTAAAGACGATAGATAGATATTTTAGACGATATTTTAGACGATAGATATTTTAGAATTTAACGTTATAATTGACTCATTCTGCATTTGACAACTGATTAATTTTGATGATTGATTAGATGATTATTTTAATCAAAGGAAACCTTCATTGATTATTCAATGTAACAATGGATTCAACTCAACACTGGTTATACACACGTGTGACAGCTATAATTTAAACAAATTTTGTTTCACTATATTACATAAAAGGAAGCAAGAAATATAGGGTAGTTTGTGACGAACGGTTTTCCAAGTGAATGGCGGTCGTTGTTAGACATCAACGCGTTTATCATGAGAATCGGATATATTTTACTAGAAACCGGATTTGAGAAGAGTTGGGACGGTGCAGTAACGAATTGCAAAAGGCACGGTAAATTTGTCGAATGCGATTTACCCCTGCTGGGTATTTTCGTAGGTTTCGCTGTTCATAATCGGTCGCTTCGTATGCGGCGCGAGCGGTGGCGTATTTTGCATTCTGACGCCGTTTTACATCGCCGAGATCGCGGACAGGAATTCGCGAGAACGTCTTCTTATGTATTTCCATCTGCTGATCAATTGCGGCATCATGTACGCCTTCGTGGTCGCTCATGTGCTGGATGAGACGGACGCTGTGTGGAGGTAATACTTGCAAAGTTAACAGAAAAAATATTGCAGTAAAAATTACAACAAAATTCTGAACCGTACAAAATTATGATCGAAATCATATTATATATTTAATTAATAGTCATACTATCTTATTGTAATTACTTAAATGGTTTTCACATCATGTATTAGGCAAATCGTAAAATTTATTATTTCTTTAGTAATTTATACTGCAATTTCAGTATAATCCGGTTTCACGAGCAAAATTTTGAAATTTTGATTATTTTGAAAAGATATAATTTTAACGTAATTTTCACTACGATGTTTTCTGCGTGTAGACTCCTGTAGAATCTCTCATGATAGTAATAATTATTAGGTGTACAACTTTGCTTCCGCCGTTTTCCTATAGATGGCTTTAGCGGTAAGTCAAAATAAATAGATCATAGACGTCATATAATAAAGTTGGGCAACTGTCAACATAACCCCATAGAAACATTAGTCGATTTGTGTCTGCATCATAAAGTTATTCTCGATTGAAAATGTCAGTTTACGAGCCAAATTCTCGTCATTTGCGGGAGGTTTTAATTTTCTGCTTCAATATGAAGAAATCTGCGGCTGAGGCTCATCGAATGCTCTCAAATACTTATGGTGAGGCCGCTATTAGTGAAAGAACGTGTCGTGAGTGGTTTCAACGCTTCAAGAACGGTGATTTTGACGTCGAAGACCGGCATAACGGTGGAAGAGAGAAGGTTTTCGAAGATGCAGAATTGGAGGCATTACTTGATCAAGACTCGTGTCAAAATCAAGAAGAATTGGCACGATCATTGGGAGTGACTCAACAAGGAATGATTCAGAAGCAAGGAAATTAGATGCTGTACGAATTGAAGCCGAGAGATGTTGAACGGCGTTTGTTTGCTTGTGAACAGCTGCTTGAAAGGCAAAGACGGAAGGGATTTCTGCATCGCATTGTGACTGGGGACGAAAAATTGCTTCATTACGATAACCCCAAGCGCAGAAAATCATGGGGAGTTCCCGGCCATGCTTCCACGTCGACGGCCAAACCGAATATTCACGGCTCCAAGGTCATGCTCTGTATTTGGTGGGACTAGCTCGGCGTAGTGTATTATAAGCTGTTAAAACCGACTGAAACAATCACAGGCGATCGATATCGAACGCAATTGATGCGTTTGAGCCGAGTATTGAAAGACAAACGGCCGCAATACAACGAGAGACACGATAAAGTGATTTTGCAGCATGACAATGCTCGACCCCATGTTGCGAAAGTGGTCAAGTCATACTTGGAAACGTTGAAATGGGAAGTCCTACCCCACCCGCCGTATTCTCCAGACGTTGCTCCCTCTGACTATCACTTGTTTCGATCAATGGCACACGGCCTGGCTGACCAGCACTTCCGGTCTTGTGAAGAAGTAAAAAATTGGATTAATTCGTGGATCGCCTCAAAAGATGACCAGTTTTTCCGACGTGGGATTCGTACGCTGCCCAAAAAATGAGAGAAAGTAGTGACTAGCGATGGACAATACTTTGGATCATAAATGTATAACAGTTTTTTACAATAAAGCCTCGAATTTCGGAAAAGAAACGGCGGAAGCAAAGTTGTACACCTAATATATCTTTATAAGGGCCTCCACTGTTAATCTTTGCTGATAATACAATGATAACACAATGATTACTACGTAAAATTCAGGAAAGAATATTTGAAAAAGAATATTCGTATTTCAAAATTACAATAACATCATTGTGCCTCCGGCTGATAACGTTGTTACACGCTTGTGTTCGAGTCATTTTCAAGACATCAGTTTGTTAACAAGGAACGTAGGACTGCGACGTTGACAAGTAAATCGGCAAAAGTTTCTTTACGCGAGATTAATAGGGCTCTTGGGACTTAACATCCGCGTCGTTTGTGGCGAATAATATTTCCGATCGAGAACTCGAGCTATACACTGACTTGAACGAGTGTTCCGAGCTAACAAATCGCACAAATCGCGAGGGTCACTCGAATCGAGAGCAGTAAATCACGCCGAGGCTCGTGGCGCCATTAATAACGTATAGGATGATTAGGTACAGTCTTACCTGCGCCGTCACGTGCCTCATGATCCCGCTGATATATCTACTGCCCGAGAGTCCCCTCCGTTATCTCGCGAAGGACGACGAGACTAATGCGAGGACTTCTCTAAAATGGTTTCGCGGCCACGCTTACAAGGACGACGCCGAGATGGAGGAGCTGAAGCGTCTCGCTGATACGGTTCGATTGGGAAAGGTAAAGTCTACTTTTTCGTGTCGCGTTAATCGCTGATAATTAAGGCGAACGTCGAAAGTTGGAGGTTGGAGTCGAAAAGTGACGGAATTATTTTTTAGAATATCAGTTCGTCGACAAAGAATATATTAGATTGGTACGAAAGAAATTTGTCTACTCAAAAGGGATATAACTTTATATTTGGCAGAATCCTTTGAATCTTTTAGAGAATTTTACTCAAACACAAGGTGAATCGCCTAACATTAGATTCCAAGATATCTCTGTTATTTTTTATGCTAGAGGCAATTGTGTAAGGAATAAATTGTGCAGCTGGAAAGGTTGACCACGAGATTTATCCCATATTATTTATAATTTATTTCATACACATTTTCCTCTAACATAAAAAAATAAGCGACTCATTCTGTATGTAACAAAAGGATTATTCTGAAATCAAGGGGAAAATATTCTAAGCGTGATATTTTTCACCTCAAAAGGATTATTCTGAAATCAAGGGGAAAATACTCTAAGCGTAACTGATTCACCGATCCGATAGAAGAAGGCCTCCTGCCGAGATGATTGGGTAATTAGTGGAGGTTTCTTGACGCGTGAATACGGCGAAATTATCGAGCTTTAAAAGACCTTTGCGCACACGCAAACTGCCTAAATCCGCAGAAACTGCATGTACAACAGCTCGACCCATTAAACCTTTACGTCTCCGGTGGATGCGGAATTAATGCTCCATCGCGTTCGGCTTTACTACTACTAGCGCGTCGTACAAGCCCATAAAGACCTCGCAAATACGGATTGCGAACGTTATAAAATAACGCGAGTCGGGGAGATCTCATTTCGGGGTTGTAACCGCTGTGAAGTAACGCGCGAGCTAGGGGAAAGACTTTGCTCGGGATTGCACGTACGCGGTCCCCCTCTAAATAGGACTCTCCGACGGAGATCCTCGCTGCGAGGCACGACACTATCCCCGCCGTGTGGAGATCTATAAAAGTGTTGCCGCGCGTGTCTATAAAAATAGAAAGAGTCGGGAAAAATAGGACACGTTCCGTCGCGGGGGATCACTCCGAGATGTGGAAGGATCTTAAAGATCCAGTCGTTCTCCCAGAGCTGTTCTTGTCGCGAGATGAGAGTCTGAAAACGCGAGACGCTTTCTTCCGCAGATCACAAGGGACGTTCTGTGCAACCGGCGCATCGTCCGGCCCTGCCTCGCCTGCGTGTTCGCGTTCCTCACCCAACAATTGAGCGGCGTCAACATCATGCTCTTCTATTCGCTGACGCTGTTCGACATCGGCGGTTCGGGCTACTTGACCGCGAGCGAGCTGACCGTCATCCTCGGCGCCGTGCAAATACTCTCCTGCCTCGTGGCTACCGGTCTAATAGATGTGCTTGGACGCAGGGCACTACTGGCTGTATCCTCAGTGCTTATGGGATTGTTCCTAGTACTGTTAGGTAAACGACTCCCCGTCGCGCGATGTTCAGCGGTCGTATTTGGCCGCCGCTGCGGCCAACGCATCCGGGATAGCTTATAGTAATGCGCGTCTAGATTCCCTGGAAAATAGAGTTTGGCCATTCTTCGAGTCCTGTTTTACTGCTTCAACTCAAGCAGGTCTCTCAAAGTGGCGGGATCAATTACTGTGCAAAGGGATCGTATAATAATTCATCTTACGATCAACGTTACCATCATAAAAATGAGGTCGCAAAGCAACTCACTCATGTATTTCGGTCGTTTTACAACAAATCTAATTCTTCTCACTTCTATTCTGCAAACACGAAATTTTTCATGGTCATGGTAAAGAATAATAAAAGAAATAACTTGGAGCACGTTTCACTTGATACTCGCAACGCGCTTAACCGACACGAGTCATCCCTGCTGCGCAAGTACGCCATTTTGAGAGGTAAGTAGCCAGACCGTATCTCCTGGGGACTCTAGGCGCGTCCTTACGCGAGCCATGCTCGGAAACGAAGTGCCGAGTCAATGAATATTTCACTCGTATCACTTGCCGATCAATCGACAAACTCATCGCGACTTTAATGGAAAAAAATCCCTTCCACGATCTTCTTGCTAATTTTCTTTTTATTCACGAGTTTCGGAGGAGAGGGGGAGGCGACGTGCTTCCTCGACTCCATGGGTTATTCCTCTTCCATGGGTATTTCCTCAAAGTTGGTAACTTGTCCCGCGACGAGATAGTCGGAAGTGTTTGCAGTTAGGAAGATTTGCATTTTTCTTACCTCGTGGGAGCAGCTTAACGTGCTCAACGCGCTTTCTTTTTGCTTTATCTGGTTTCCTTATATTCTTTTCTCTTTCTCCCCAGTGCATCTTACGTCGGGAAACGAGCGATACGGAGTGTCTAAAGCGGCGTTTAATCGTGTCCCGTTTACAGATCGCTCGTAAACGACGCGAAAATCGCCCGCTATTATTCCGCTCGTAAAGGGGACCGATACGTGAACGCGATGATCTACCCGTATCCGAACACGCGCAATTTTTCAAAGAACGAGTCGCGCCGTCACATCTACAACGTGCTCCTATAGCTTTGGCCGCGCTCCAGCACAGAACACACTACTTCCGCTTAATAGTACTCGACGCTGCTTCGACACTACGCGCACTACACTAATACACATATCGGAGCCATTCACATGTTCGCAGCTCGTAAAAAATAGAGAAATCTTCTCTCTCTCTCTCTCTTTCTCTTTCATTCGCACACACAAACACATACACCCTCTGGGGAAGTTACATTCGTCTTGATTCGCGAGAATTCACGGCGTGTTGTGACTTCCCGAGAAACATCATTTATCAACCGAGAAACAATTCGCGCAACGTGCATTATTTCATGTTTCCTCGTATATAAGTGCAAAGGAAGATTTCTGCTCCTTACGCGCAGAAGATTCATACGATAAATCAAACCTGTGCCACTTTGTTTCGCGGTGTACGTGTGCGATATTAATCGGGGCGAATCGAGACGGAGAATTGCGCGCGATTGAACATTGCGATGCGGATTATTCGCCTCGTCGCGAAAGTAACTCGGTAAGTAGGAAGGAAGCGACAGGTGCGAGCCAAAGTGTAGGTAGCTTAGTAGAACAAGACAGAACCGGTCCAACCCAAGGGACCAGCGTGGGCGGCACGAACGGGTCTCGGTCTCTATTGCGGTCAAAGTTTCGTATTCTATGGTTTATTGATTTTCACATATATATTAGAGAACACGGAGGGACCTCGAATAAAGATCGCCCGTGTCTGCCGCACACATCGTCCACTCGACATCTTCTCCGCTTTACTACTTGCGGCGCGAATCTCTCTCGTAAAGCTGCAGAATTTTTCAATTTTAATCTGCGAATCTTCTACACAGACTGGTTGACGTTGACGTGATGTAAATGAGTGAACCAAGCGCCTTTTGATTTGAAGAATTCCTGCTTCTTATGAATCTAATTCGGTCCTAAAAAACAGAAATTCTGTTTTGTTTGAAGGGAACAGAAATCCTGGTTGTTTTTCTGATTTCTATGAACTAAATTCGAGGTTCTAACCAGGAAGTCTATTTTGTTCGAAGGGAACCGAATTTCTGGTTCTTATAAATTAAATTTGGCTTTTATGAACTAAATTAGTTTCTAAGTACCAGGAATTCTATCCCCTTTAAACAAAACGGAATTTCTGATTCTTATGAACCAAACTCGATTCTTACGAAGAGAATTCTGTTGCAAGAACCAGAAATTCTGGCTTCCTTCAAGCAAAATACATTTAGTTAGTTAATTGTCACGTCAACTCAACCAAGCTTGCTCTCCGTGTCGAGTCTCTCTTTCACTCTTTCGCTCATGAATATCACCAAATCGCACGACGATCGTCGCGAAGCCGGATCAGATCTCTCTCTCCCTGAAGCGTGCGTCCGCAGGGTGGTTCTACAAACTGCGGGAGCAGGACCCGGAATACGACGACATCTACTACTGGATGCCGCCCACGTGGACGACGCTGTTCTTCGCCGCTTACAACGTCGGCTTCGGGCCGATCTCGTGGTCGCTGTTGGGCGACAGCTTCCCCATGGAGATGAGGACGACCGCTGCGAGCTGCGCGGCCGCCTTCACCTGGCTGCTGTCTCTGACCGCGACGATGACCTTCGGCGAGATGCTGGACGGCCTGGGCGTGCTGCGGACCATGTGGCTCTTCGCCAGCTTCTGCTGGCTGGCCGGCGCCGTTACCGTCCCCCTCGTGAAGGACACCCGCGGTCACAGTCTGGCCAAGATACAAGAGAGCCTCGCCACCGGAGAAGCACGAGCAGCGGAGAGAAACATCCCCGAGCGGACGTGAAACGTCGTCGGCCGGACGACGTTCCGCTATCACGCGCGGCGACAAGCGACAGCGTTCTCCACCCTCGTCGATCGTTGAGAAACGACCTCGGACGCTGTGGGAAGACGAATGTCTTCGGATACGACGGGCGATACGGCGGGGCCGGTGGCGATGATTTAATAGCTCTCTAGATCATTCTCCGCGCTCAGCCCGGCGACTCGGCCGTTTTATCTCGCGTTTTGACGTAATCTGCAGCGCGCTAGAGCTGTCGGAAGGGACCGTTGCGCGGCCTGAAAATTACGACCTCGTAAATCATGCGAATAAACGCACGCCTGTGTGCCGCGAGCGTGACGGCGGCGCAACAACACGGATTCGCAGCACGTGCCACGGTGCGGCTGCGGCGACCGGGTAATCAGCTGTGAAACACCGTCTCTCGAGTCCGACAAATCGGCCGTGCCGTTCGTACGCGACGACGATGGTCGTCGCAGCCGTGGGATAACATGGCGAACACGTTGACACTCGGCGAGCGAGCGCTCAATAAATGCGTCGATCCCGCTGTAAGTCACCGAACGAAAATACGACGATCCAGCGGGAGAACGTATTACCTCATTCCGCAATCGCGATATTGGACGCGGCGTCCGCGTCAGCTGGAGTCGCGCCAGAATGCGGAGATCCGCCCGTCGTATTTTGTTTCGGGCTGAAATATCGCTAACAGATGTACCAGCGCGACGATTCCGCCGCGTTCTCTTGACAAAAATAACAGGACGGCTGCGACAGCCATCATCGCGGCTGAGATCGAAGGGTAATTTAAGGCGTTCGTCGGCGTCGAGCTCGATTGATGAGTTGATCGCGAGAGTCGGACGGGCGATTCGACCGAATTGCGGGCTTGCACCGCGAGCAATTGCTGAATCTCCCGGTGGAGTTCCTCAGGAGCTTGGCGAACAATTCCAGGCCAACGAGAGAAGCGTTAGAGAGAATTCACACCTTAGCAGGAAGGCAGAAGACAATCAGAACTCGCGCTGGTAGAACAGCAGAAACTAGTCGACTACTGCATCTGATCACCAATTCTGATTGGCTTCTGCTTTTCTGCCAAGGTGTGAATGCACTCTTATATCTCGCTTCTCGAGTCGTAATTATTCTTCGTAATTATTCTTGAGTCGCGTGACAAGATTTTGGAATATGTCTCTTCTTCTTCGTCTCGTATCGCGCAACACGATGCAATCTGCGCAGCTTGTGAAAAAAGCATCGTTATTAACTCCTACAATCCGGGAAGCTACTATAGTCGCGCGACAGGGATTTCATATTTTTTACTAATCTACTGTTTAGTATGTACAAAAAAGTTCTAGTTTAAAGGTGATGGTTAATTTGGGATAAAAGAGCAATTAGTATATCCGAGTTTTGATTCTGATTGAAGTCTTTCGACCTCGATATTTCGTTTAACAGCTTCAATACTTTGGATCCTAAATAGAATCTTTTAGTTCTATTTAGGATTTAACTTATATCTTTGCAGAGAAGCTCTCTTTAAAACCTACATTTTACATTTATGTTTCTTGCCATTTAGAGGTGCACAGTAGGGCTTCAATTTCCATGTGTATTAAACATAAACTGATCCTTCAGTATATACAGATGTTAGAAAGTTCAGTTCCGAAAATAGAATTGAAATTCCGACTCTAGTATTTGTCACTGCGTTAGAAATACGTAAAATTTTGCGAAACATCCAGGTCGACTTCTTCTGAAGCGCAATACGACAATCAAGACGTTTCAAAGCAAAAGTTAAAATGCAATGGAAAATAAAGCTTCTGAAAAATTTTCGCCCTGAAAAAATCCGCTGTGAATGTATGAATATAAAGAAACACGATGCAGTATAATATCATAATGCGCTGTAAACGAGATAGTGAACAAAAACATCGAAACAATGTTTCCGAGCGAAAATGGGGACGGAATTATAAACGACGCCGCGATACCGTCTGTATTACAAAGTTGAGCGCGGTTGTCAAAGAGGAGAAATCGCGTTCGCTCTTGACGCGAAAAGTTCTGCTTAGGCTTTCTTTCGTGGATAGTTTGACCTCGAGGGCACTCTATTTGCAGTAGTGTGCACAGATACGCTCATCCGCAAGCAGATCAAAAGCGCATTTTTGAGAGGTCAAAGAGTGTGCCGACTTCGCCCTTAGGGGCTTAAAAATTGCTTGGCGCATAACTTTCACGTGAAGGGCTTCCCGTCGCCACCGAATGAAGATTCATTGACGCGCGTTGCAATTCGAAGGACTGAAATTGCACGCTTTGATCTCGCAGTCATCGTCGTCGTTGTCGTCGTCGATATTTCAGCGCAGCGTGGAAATAGCGGAGTTATAAAGCGTACTTTGTGCTCCGATATGAAGTCAGTATAACGTCGAATTGGAACGCGGCGCGCACGAGTTGCGCGTTTAATTGAAAAATCAAGTCCTCGCGTATAGTGTTGCCAGTGCCGAATCTCGAGTTCAGTAATCAATATGTCGGCTTGTCGACAGTTTTGTAGATTCCGCTGCCTATGTCACGTTTTTAAAATTCGTTGAAATTTTTATCAACAGAAGCATGTAAACGATAAAATGTCGCGTGTTACAATGAAATTGAATCATATTGCTACTACATGCACTACATGCATGCGAAATTTACGTCGCTGGATTACGTCAGCGATCCCCATGACGCCGTTAAAAAATCTAATGACCCACTTGACAGTCAATGTATTAAAAGGGAAGAAGGTAGGCATATGGATCACTTTTTTGAACGAAAAATCTAATGCATAATCATTAGGAAAGAAAAGTTTATCTTTATTTAAGAAATCAATCTCGTTTCGCATTACCACTTTCTTCCCGCGCTTCTCGATAAGATATACACGCTTACATATTGATATATAATACATATAGCTTATTCCACATAAATATAATAATCTGAAATATATTTAAGAATTTATTAGCCGCCTTTCGCGTTTTTATACCGTGTCGGACGAGGTGGACTTTCACGTAATTTCCTCAGCTGCGAGTCTACATATCTCTGAAATATGATCAAGAAACGAACGCGGAGAGTACTTGACGGTAAAATAACGGCATATTACGGAGAAGAAGAAGTACGAGAGGAGAACTTCATGTTCTCTTTTTTCCTCCCCCGTCGGAAGTACCGCGAGATGTTAAAAAGTGAAGGAGCAAAAATACGCGCCAGTTCCATCGTTATTTATTATTTTAAACGCGGACAATGTACGTCTCGCGGAACCGTTATAAAAAGATAAAGAAACGCTCGAGCCGCGCGGCGAGAGAAATCATCACGATGAGTCTTGCTGAGACGGAGCCTCCGCGCATAAAATTTCTAAAGACGACGACGCCTACCCCACGACGGCAGCAGCCGTACCAAGAGCAAGCGCGGGGGCGCGCAAACAAACGCGCTTTGAGAGAAGGAAGAAAAATACAAACAGGGATAAAGGCGCGTCCGTAAACCGAGGCAGGCGAGGAGAGCTCGGCGAGACGGAACTGCAAACGAATTTTATCACGCGCCTTCATACCATCCGCGTTGCGTCGAAACGATCCTCCATAAACGCAATCCCCGCCATTAATCTTCCCCGCCGCATTTCTTCCGTGCACTACCGTGAAACTTGCATTTACAACCGCGAGTACATTTATCTCGAGCGCGCGCCCCCGCGATCCCCGGAATTCCAGAGTGACGTCGCGCATTACCATCTGACGCATTTCATAATTCCCCTCGAACATTATGAACTCGGAGTTAAAGTCCGAAAGTTAAAAGCCAAAGTTAAAAGCCCGGGCGGGAGAGAGACGCGCGTGCGCGCACGTATTTGTCGTCGACTCGTCTCTCGTTTTCTCGCGCGGTTAACGAAAAATGTATATGCAAGTGTCGCCGCGCATATTTATTCCGCGCTCTGTGGGAGTTTCACGAGAAACGTCACTTTCCAAACTTGCGCGTAGCACCCGTCGTGTATTAAAGAACGCGCGCCCGCGCGCTTACGTACACAGCCGCTCTCGTGTGTCATTAATTTTGCCATCAAAGTTACTGGCGGATCCTCGAGGAAACTTGGGTCGTGTTGCGCACGCGGTGCTGTAATTTAGCGCGAGTCGATACCGTAATCTACGCGCGAAGTGGCGAATCAAGAACGTCCGATTCAAATTTCAGCTCTAAATCTCTCCGCTGCTTAAACAGCAGCAGCGCCGGCCATCGTGATATCGTCGATCGCCGATTCGCAACGATACCCTCGCGCGAACGCGCGAATCAACGTAATAAGAATCCTTCGCTCGAGCGACGGAGTTAGCTTTATCGCACATTTCGCACATTAGCCGATGAATATGACCGCTTTCTTCTTTATTGGCAGTTTGGCTCCCATACTTTCGAAGATAATGGCCAGGAAATTTCCGCAACTGCGCCCCGGGGAGCTACTCGCGTGTCGACGATGGACTCCGCGATTCATGAATTCTTCCGCGCGAAGAATTTGCACGTTTTCGTGATCTTCGCGCTATGAGCCACTCCGAGGCTCGCGTTACAGCCAACAACTACGGACTCGCGCTTTTATCCTTTTGTGCAAAAGGTAAAGTTATCTATTGTATTATTATCGGTCGTAAAGCCACAAACGTGAATAAAATTCATCCAGATCAATCCTCCAAACGTTACCGTTCTTAAAAACATATGTTCTGTTTTTTTATGTAGCTCTTCAATTTTATTGGATTACAAAAATATTAATAGAATCATATTTCTCGACGATTCAGATTTTGCGATTTCTAGATCGTCGAGAAATACTGACTAAAAAAAGAAAAATATATTAAATTTCTATAATTTTTCCGGGAGTTGTGTGGAAAAAAAGGTACTAAAATTTACCCATTTTCAAATTTACCCATATTACACGTAACTTTTTAGTGTTTATGTTTCTGAGATTAAAGATAATTCTTTATTATTTATATAAAAAATACTCACGTAACACATATGTCTCAAAGATATCTTGAGATATCCAAGACATCCTAAAGACTTCCTACTTGTTTTAGATGTTTTTTGGACGTCTTTGAGATATGCGTGTTACGTGAGTATCCTGTATACAAATAATGAAGAATTATTTTTAACTCTAGAAACATAACTTCTAAACATTAGAAAGTTGCGTGCACTCTAAACGTACTCAACACATTTTCTTTCTCTCTCTAGTTAAAGAAGATTTGTGCATTATCGCGCATAATTATGTGACAATTTTCTTTCATTAATAACTAAAAATCTATGTGATTATTTGCAAAATGATAAAGGGATTTTTTGTTTAATTTAACTTAATATACAAGCACATAACAGCACACATCACCACTACAGCTCATCCATCATATCGCGCATGATCATTCACCAATTTTCTTTAATTAATATCTCGAGATTTATTGCGAATATCGCAAAACGATATTTTATATTCACCTCAATTCGTTGTACGTTCCCGCAAAAATTGCGGAGGAGAGTTTGGGATATCCTGTATACATATTCTGTTCTAACCTAACGAGAAAAAGAATGTACTGCGCCCGCTGTGCAAGAGAGACAGTACGAAAGGACGAAAACTGCGGGGAAATGACAATTTGTCACGAAATATCCGTTGCATTCGCGAGTACACGATATACACAAAGTTAAATTACCGAAGCGACCCGCCGGCTACGCGCTATCTTCGGGAGCGCGGCTCAGTAATTAGTTGCCAAACGCAGATTAAATTTGTTCCGGAAATTAATCCGATCAGCGCGAGCTATAAGTTGCAAAGTTTCTCGAAACGTATCGTTCGTGCCTCGCCACGAAGCTCGATCCCCGATCCGGGGATCCCAGAACTGTTTCCGATGTTAACCCTCGTCTCGCTCTGCGAAACTTCATGGCAACAGCGGCGGTAACGTACCGGTTAACCGATCCAAATCGTAGATCCGACATGAACGCACTTGTATGACGTTTCATCGGTTCGCCGATGTGTAGATTAGCTTAGATGAGTTAAGTTCTGCGCTGCAATTTCCAACGAAACAGCCGACCGGTCGACTTACGTAAACAGCGTCGGTTTACATCTTGCTTCCCGCGGCGGCTACATTCGCTCGCGAATATGCGTATTTCGCTCACTCGCGTAACGCAATATTTGACGTCGGGAAACTTTAGGGAACCAATAAAACTGAAATTGAAATGAGCAGTGGAAGCGCCCAACGTTCCATTGGACGTTTAATATTTCATTATACGTCGATAACGCGAATTTTCGCGATAACTCTCTCTCTCTCTCCCTGCCTCCCTCCCTCCCTCTCCCTCCCTCTCCCTCTCCCTCTCTCTGCCTCTCGTTCTTGCAGACGTTCGTCTCGTTCTCGAAATTCGCCACTGGAATATTGCATAAATTTTCTTAACAGCACGTACCGCGTGCTGCGTTTTACTTACGTCTCTAAGAGTAGTTTCGTATACGTTTTTGCGACGCACAAAAGATCATCATTGTGATCGAGGTTTGCGTCAATATTTGTATCGACGTATCGTTGCGTACACGGAGAGAATGTTACAGCGAAAATTATTGTAGAATTTTGTGACTGAGGAGCGAATCGGCATTCCGTAGTGATCAACTATCTTTTCATTTTATTGCGTTATTTCTCTCTACTTTAGCAACTGAAGTACCTATTAAAAAATATGCCATCTTAAAGAAATTTACCGAGTTTCCTAGCATGACACAAATCTTACTAACAGCTGATTCCTGCACTAGAAACACAATAAAATTGAAGAGAATATATATGAAGGAAATCGTAATTATTCTAACCGTATAAATTCTTCCTGTGTGTGGATATTGCTATCTTTCTCTCGGAAAGAAAGGGGAAGAACATTACGTCGATGTTAATTGGTGCAGAATGTACCGTATGTATTCAAAACTCTGCGCTGCGTTAACCATTAATAAGACCTTATAGGATTGTATTTCCCGATCTGCGGGCTTTAAAACAGCCGTCGAGCGAATTGACGGGAATCCGACTGACCGATTAGCTGAGAGATACGAGCGAAACGGCGAGATCGAAAACCATTCGGTTCTGTTTTATTGTAATTACAGGAGAATCAAAAATAACTCTCTCTCTCACTCTCCTTTTTCTCTTCATTTTATTAATTGGATTTGTTTTCCAAATGCACGTCACTGCGGTGCGCGACGTAACAGTTTATAATTTGCAAATTATTACACGAGTGAGTTCGATCGGAATTGCGAACGAGTGGCCGGAAAGGGAATGATCAAAAGCGGACTCGAGCGACACTTGAATGCGTCGCATTTGTTATGTTGCGTATATATACGTGCACCGGATGTCCCTCTTGTCATTCCGATGGTGTTCCTTCATGAGTATACTCTCGTACGTACGAACGCGCGTGAACAGCAAGATTATTAGCAATTCCATTTCGCTGATGCTCGGTGCACTTGCGATTATTAATGTTCTCATGGAGAAGCGGTGTGAACGCGCGGAAAGGATCGTGAAACGCGCTTTGGACATCAGTTCTGCTGTCGGGAAGACGTGCAAACACTAGCAACGGCGCTGCAATTTTCTCGGCCGGCCAAGCCGAGGAATCCGAGTGTTGCATTGATGTTCGCAATTACAATCACTAAAAAATGAGATGTAACTCGCTTCTAATGTTTAGGAATTATGTTTCTAGGGTTAAAAATAATTCTTGATTATTTGTGAAAAGGATACTTACACAACACGCATGTTTCAAAGACATTCAAAAGACATTTAAAACAATATCTTTTGGATGTCTTTAAGAATAGTCTTTAAGATGTGCGTGTTGCGTGAGTATTCTTTGCACAAATAGTAGAGAATTATCTTTAATCTTAGAAATATAAACCCTAAAAAGTTACGTGTACCTTAAACATGGGTAAATTTTACTCAACGCATTTTCTTTTCCATCTTCTCGTGGAAAGCGACATGGTTTTCGCTCGATGTTTATGAGCGAAGGGACGAAAACTATGGGCTTGTGTGATAAGCATTGCTCGGATCAAGATAAAACGATTGTATTTTTATGCTGTTGTAATTTTATAAAACAACGTGTACGTGACATGATAGAAAATCGTCAGTCACGAAACAACGCGTGCATTGTATCATGAAATTGTAACGACATGAAAATACGGACGTTTCCTCTTATCTGGGAGATCCGAAAAACTATTTGTCACACAATTCAATACTTTCGCTCAGAGTGGCAAGAAAGGACGCCTTTGACTATTCGTTCGAAAAACATTTCTCGTGTGAGTGAGAAATGGCAGATACACGCTTGCGCCAAAGCCGACCTAATTATTTTCCACTTAGGTAGATACGCGCATCAGTAACTCGTATCAGTAATTACAGACCGGGGTACGCAAGTAGACCAAGTTGAAACACTTACTCGCGACAAGTAGCCTCGAATATCGCGACATCTGCCCCATGTAAGTATGTGCAGCGGTAGGAATGCCAGCTGGTTAAGCTCACAAAAGCTCATACGAATAAAAAATACGTATGAACTTTCATTCTGTCTTCCGTCCTGTTCTCTCCTCAGCACGTGTATTTAAAGCCATGGCGTTTACATTTGTTGCCTGAAATATTTATTGCTCCACGAGAATTCTCCTGCAAAAATCGTCCGTTTTACAAGTCGATACCGTCGACAGTCGCGCGTGTCGCTCGCAATCGAGATTACGTGAATTGCATTCGGCGCGTAATGGATGCATTCTCCGACGTTCGTGCGTTTCCTACAAATTTGCCGAACGCGCTGTCCTTCTTTTATCGTCACCTCTCCGTTTCTGTCCCGACCGCGATAATATCTTTATCGTTATCGCGTTTTATTTATTCCACGATATAATGAAGATTTAGCTTGTCCCAGATCGGTGGAAGTCTTCTTTGTTTTGCCTTATTATCATATCACTCTCCCATAATCGTTTGTTCATTCATTCATTCGTTTGTTTGTTCAAGAGGAGAAGGAGAAAGAGAGAGAGAGAGAGAGAGAGAGAGAGAGAGAGAGAGAGAGAACTTTCCAAAGAGGCCGTGAAAAAAGAAGTATGGATATCCATTCGGGTGAATTATCCCGGACGCAAAAAGTGAAGGGCAGTGTCGTGAGGAGGATGTGGCGGAAAAAGTATGTGTAACGGTGTCATTCGTCATACTTATGTCACTTCTGAAATATATTGTTTTTCTCCAGAGTATAAACGTCGACGACTGAAACGTCATATGCACTGTGAAAAAAAATCCAACTATAAATCATATTAAAGACCATAATAATAGAAATCGTTGTAATAATGAGATATTAAAGCTTAACTCTTTGAAGTAAGGACCTTCAAAATTGGAATTCTAGTAAAATATTCATGTCACATATCTAGAATGACAACCCATGATATTACTCTTTTTTAAATAAATTTTTTTCTATTTTCTTATTTGTACAGGTGAATAGGGGTGGTTTCACCGTGCAATCACATATTTCCAATATTATGTACAAGATGAGTGATGATTGCGAGATCACTACGCCTAAAGCTATGATTTGGTTCTAATAAGTGATCTCACTAGTGAAACCACTGTGCTCCAAAGGGCCTCGAGAGTGACGTAATGTCTCAATTTCGAAACAGCATGTATATGAATTGTAGTACACGAGTAGTTGTGCAGTATGTGCACTCGGTTGCTGAACGGTTTGCACACCAATTTTCCCAATGAAGTCGCACTCCAGATTGTCACAGTTGAGAGACACTGCTGATGTGTTTGCGTGGTAATGGAAGTGACAGTACACGATGCAAACACAGATCTTTTATCATACTCTCTTATCTGACGAACAGGAATATAATAAAGAGTTTTTGTAAGAACTTAATAAGCATTTAAAAAGAATTTTGAGAAGAATTTAATAAGAATACAAAACACATTCTTACTAATATATTTCATTTATGTATATATAATTTCTTTTACTTAAATATATTTTTGTTGATATATTTATATAAGGTTATAGAGAATTTAAAAAATGAGAATATAAAAAAGGATACAATAAAGATACGCTTACGCTTTTCCTGAATGTTTCCCGTTGCGATTGTGACGTCAGGCATCTCATGTATTGTCACTTTACTTTCTCTCGTGACCAATTAAGCTGTGCAAACGCGTCAGTAATGTCGACTGTGAGGACTTCAAGCGTCGCAACTTTATTCAAAGAAATATGTGCAAGCTGTTTCGTAACCGAGCGCACATACATCCGTGCGAAATTTTCGAGAGCGAGTTTCTTTCGGTCACTTCCGAAAAACAATGAGCGATCGATCGCTCGTATCCGCTCGTGTAGACTAAAGATAAATCCCGCGTGCGTTACGCGCGCGTAACCATTTTTAACGAGTTGCAATCGCCCTTCCGCCTAAATTTGCTACACTAAAGTACTCGAAACCTTCAAACGCCTTCCGTTCATCAATCCATCAAACTTCCCATTGCTGTCCTTGTTATTTTCCGTAAAGCCTATCCCATATGAAATGACATAGCTGCATGTGCATAAGACTGTATGAACCAATGAACATCGAGTATTGAGCATCAAGCATCAATATGGCGGCTTAACACTCAATGTTCATTGGTCAATACGATCTTATGCTATGCATATGCAGCTGTGTCATTTCAAGTGTGGTGGGTTTAACTCGTCTCGGATATGGTTTCGATGGGAAGCTTCTAAATTAGGTCACGAGCTTCTGCAATCGACTATGTCATAATCTCGCTATTATTATCGTTTAATTATAATACGCTCGCTTAACTCTCCGTAAACTCCAAATTTTATAGCCACGCATTGGAAGACCTCGAAGTTCAATTGGCACCGAACGACCGAGCTCGTAATCAGCGCGCGGCCGGATTACGCGAGATAAATCTGTCCCGTAAATTATTAATTCCCGACAAATCGTGTACCCATACGACGACAAAACTCACGATTTTAAAACTCGCTGTTCGCAACACGCGGAAAGCAAACGTTCAATTTTAATAAACGCTCCGCGCGCAACCTAATATAGGGGGACCTAATATATCTTCAGCGGGCAACGCAAGTTACTGCTTTGAAAGTCAAATATCGGGCGTAACGATTTTATTAGTATTCGCGCGCGACCAAGTGGAGCGTGTGACCGCAGCCCTCAGTTTTTTCAAGAACCCGCTCGAGAAACCTTGTATCCCGCGAAGGAAGCTTTCATGTGAAGCTCACACACTGAGATAAACACTGCGAGATACGTCGCGAGAGAAATTTTCGTTTTTACAAACAACCATTTGTACACAGTTAGAAATCTTGCGTACAAATGTTCAAATTTTCAAGTGTTACTTATTTTTGACTGTTATTTCAATGTAAAATTATATATTATTTTTGTGATATTTTAATGTCTTACATTAACGTCAATTTAATAACTTAACGTTTCCTGTATGCTACTTAAAGAGAGAAATGGAATATATTATTTTGAAAAAATTCAGGTAAAAAACACAAGAATTCACTTGCGGAAGTCACTCGATCGTGAAAATAAAATACAATAAAGGACGCCAAACGGCTGGTTTAATAGCATAACACGAATAATTCCATCTCTGACTGGAAGTTTCGATTAAAATAAACTATATAATAAATTAGGTCGGCTTACGATCGTGTCGTCGAACTAAATTTTGTGCTTGTTTCATGCAAACAAGGGATTAAAAGAACATGAGAATTTTTCCGAAAAAATTTGGGACAGTGCGGCCGCCATGTGCAGCCCTGAAATTGAGTCCGTTTAGCTCGACTTGAGCCGTTCCGACGGGTCTTTCTTCCTTTTCTAGCGCATATACGTTCAAACAGTCGCGCATTTTTTCTATCTCCGTGTTCTAATTAGCGAAAGGCCGGGAGCACGCTCGGGGAAGGCAAGGACGATCGATTTCCTCGCCGTCGCGAGTCGCCCGTCCCGGTCAGTTCGCTCGCTTGCGATTTTGCCGAGACAATGGCCACTGCTACGCGCGGTTTTCACGGATACGCGATATGCCGGACATGATGTACGGCCGCGCTTCGGTTTAGATAAAGACCGCGACGAGTTTTATTCGTACGTTCCCGGGAGAAAGCGCGCTCCCTCTGCTCGGTGTGCTCCAGTTCTCACGAAGCTCCCCTCGCGATCTTCGTTTCCGCCTCGTAGACGGCAGAATCTCGATGGAAATTGAAGCGTCCAGGTAGTAGGAGCGAGGAACGTTGGATCGTTGGAGGGACAAGCGATTCAAGGAAAACACTACTCTCTTAAAGTGAATCAGTGAATAGTCACTGATATCAGTTATAAATATAGCACTGAGCGGTTTCAGTGCTGTACTTACAGCTGCAAATCAATAGTATAGTTACTGCTTTCAATGATGTTTCACTGATTCACTTTAAGAGAGTAGAAACCAACTCTCTTGGTTCAAACAGAAAGGAATATAATTCGTCGTCGTTGCTATACGATTAAAAATTGACACATCGTTAATATTTTCCACGCGTGTCCCTTAAAATACACGTCGATCTCGCAAAAACGCGGCAAACCCAACACCAGAATGCGTAGTAGACCCATCAGCCACGGCCAAGACAATGAACCCTCGCCGTTTCACTCCTTCATAACCGTACGACGATCACTCAACTTTACAGTATTGCGCGTCTGCCGGAAAAAAAAGAAGGAGTGAGAGATACGCCGGCGATCTTGTTGTTGCGATAAAATTATCGAGTTTCTAACTAGGCCGCGCTTGCTGTACTTCTTGCCAGGTAAATCAACTGAACGATCATTTGCATCATCAAGCTGCGTCATCTCTAACGCACAATTAAGAAGAAAAAAAAGCCAAAGAGAAACAACGTAAGATCTCGTTTGCAAAACCCATTGAATCGTGGAAGTAAATTAAAATAAAGGCTGGAGCATCAAATAAACTCCTACAAAGGCAACGCTTGCATTTTATTATATTATATTTTATTTCTCTATCAATTGAATAGGCCACATAAGTAAGATCTTGCGCTAGCTCTTATTGGCTTTTCTCGTCTTGTCGATTCTTACCAGGTGTTACAGATTCTATCCAATCCATATAGTACCCAACACGCGTATTAATAGTGGGCATCTCCGAAGCGCAACCTACACCGGAAGATGTAATGCCGACTAGTACAATATTGTTCGTAAAATAACTTTGCCACAAGACTGGTCCGCCACTGTCCATCTGCAAAAGGTTCAGAAATTAGAAAATGCCGCGATTATTCGATGTCTTGGTTATTACAGTGCTGGAATGACGTCGATTTTGCGCTTGTCCAGTACATTAAACGCTATGCTTATTTATATTGACCGTACGAGACCTTGAATCGCTACGGATGCAGTAAAACAAATTTAATTCGAGACGCATATATTCTTCAACTAGATACACTCGTTCTCTATTGGTCATATAAATAATTTTTTGGACGGAAATAATTGTACTTCATATTTGAGGGGACACGGCAGTATCGTTGGTGATCATCACGAGATCATACGTCCCTTTGCAGATAATTCCACGATGTCAAAAGAATCCTGTTCTCTTACCTGACAAGAGTCCTTTCCCTCGGCGTAAGTACACATCTGAGAACATGCTATCTGTAGGCTAGAATTATACATGTTCGCGCATTGTTGAGAGCTCATTACGCCCACATTCACTCCCTGCAACTTAGTCGATCTGGCACCGCCAAAATCCATCATACCCCAGCCTGATTATCAAGAAGGATTAAAGCGGACAGTTGTGCGACAAGGAAAATGATCGGGTGATACTAACCCAACAGCGTCACACGATCACCGATAAACGAGTCGTATCGATGCTGAAATGGCAGACAGGCCGGACCGACTTTGGCACTAAATTTTATCGACTCTTTAGTTTTACAAATAGCTATATCGTGGTAATTTTTATCTCCACTTTTGCAGTACTGAGGATGTATTGTGCATTTCTCTATAAGATATATCTTAGTGGCGTCAGTTTCTTTACCTATTTACAAAATAATGCGAGATACCGTATATTGAATCAATTATAATAATGATTTATGCCGTTTCTCTCCTTTTTTCAATTTATCTTTGTAGAAAGTATTTTACATGCAAAACATATTCTTAAAAAATTAGGAATATTACGTTAGGCTCTACAAAACTCAATTTAATATGCATTTATCGTTATTAATAATAGCTTATGTCATCAACTAAAAAATTTTATATCTGTCAATTCTTTCCGCGAATGTTAAAATCAATCAATACGCGCGCTATCTTTGTCAAGAATTATTTTCTCAGCTAGATTCTTCCTCTACACGAAAAATTTCGTTTTTATATTCTGTAACACTTGGCATAGTTATAAAAAATTGGTGTGGAACTGAACCTATTAAAGAACAATTTTTTCGCGTATAGTGAATGTGAGATATAGCTGCACGGCATGATTCGAACCTACCAAGATTGTAAATTTAAACTTGATTTTACCTGTATTAATATCATGCTCGCCGACAAGCGCTCCGATTGTACTTATATCTTTCCTATCCACACAGTGAGCCGCTGTTAATATGTAATGATAATATATTATAGTCGCACCACAATACAATTCTTTCATTTTAAAGTCGATAAGACCAGCCATCATAGGATATTCGTTTACACATGTTTCACTGCCGCCAACTATCCTAGTCTAAACAAACAACGAAAAGTAACGATCAAATCCTTCGCATAAATTTTGTCCGGTTCCTAACCGCGTTAATATCTCTAGATAATTTTGCGTCGTATAAAAGATCTCAAAGTGGGGCTTCAAATTATTAAGGAAGGTAGTGACAAAAACCGACGTCCTTATTATTGTAGTACATTCGTACTTACTGGATTCTTCCAGCCGCATCGACAATTGCTGTCAGCCTTTGCAAAACGCATGCAATCTGATGATTGCGCTTTGCTCAGCGCCAAAAAAGGTAGCAGTAGACCGAACGTTATCACTTTGACTAAAACGAAATAATGTTCTCATAATACTTCGCTTGTTTACCAGAATTGGACCGCATCTTCCTTATATTTGGTTCCGACATTTCGTAAACATTTCAGTTCATTTCTTCAGAGAACAAGGCGACCTGAAACTTTTCCGCGCTTATTGTCATTTTGTCACAACGCCTTCCCCCTATCATTGCCCTGACCCCTTTGCCTCCCATCATTTCAAATCACCAAACCCCCTTCTCTTATAAAAGAAGACACCTCGCAGAAAAGCAATAGTTTCAGGTCGCCCTGCTTCCTAAAGTGAACTGAAACGTTCATGAAACGTCAGAACCAAATACAAGGAAGACGCGGTCCAAAGCCGGAAAACAAGCGAAGTATTAGACAACACCGTGAAAGCCTAAAATACTTATTGTTCTTATAATTATATCTCGGTGTAGATATAGATCTACTTAAAATGTAAGATTATTTTTGTTGAAAAAACAACTTTGCTGTTGTGACGCCTAATTATCAAAGTTTTGCATCAGATTATTCAAACCAATACTAAGATCTACTCGGCGAACTTTGCTCATTTCTATCTACATCCAAGACTGCGGAAAAATAAGTAGACAAACGTACTGAAGTTAAACTTTACGCGTAAACCACCGATGTTATTCTTTTACTAAATTTTTTAAATTTGTTGAGAGACGTTCAATAGACAATTAGTTACTTCATATGATTTTAACGATTTAACAATTCAAACAATTCATCCAATGATGGAATGACGATATCGATCACCGATGACCGGCACGACGTGTGGGACAGTTTAATTATTATAAGATACAATCTTGTAGAATAAAGTATGGTAACGAAAAAATAGAATATGAACGATAACAATTCTTTGAAGAAAAACGTGAACTTGAATTCAGTCGAAAAGTATATCTACAAACGCAAATGTTTCTTCCTTCGTACAACAGGTGATACCATGTAAATTGCAATAATTTTCTTATCTCGCCAAATTGCTTTGCTCTTGTAAGGTCAGTTTCGATAAAAAACGTTGTTATTAGAGTTACGCAAGACTCGACAATATCGTCTTATTTTGCAAATGCATTGTAAAAAAGGAACACATTATCTCTCTTTTTTCTCTCTCGCACACACTCTCTCTCTCTCTTTCTCTCTCTCTCTCTCTCTCACGAATATATGATCATGACGATTAATATTTTGGTCGCGCAATTTTTCCACGCGCAATTTCGCAAATATATTCGATGCAAAACGCCACCGTATATCTCTCAAAAATCCAAAATAATCAAACAACTGATCGATGTATAAAAATAGCTAAAAAATTCACTTTTCATGGATAAACATAGGTTTCGATATTCTACTGAATTAACTTCGCGCGTCGCACATATAATTGCCTCCTAATAATTTTATGGGAGAGAATTCACTCTGCGAAGCTTTCAGTTTATCGAGCTTTGCGGATCGTCAAACTTTGGTATATAATAATGTTAAACAAGAGCAGACGCAACATTTAACATAATTTGTTCAACATAATTTATAATCGCCACTATTACATTTCTAAGCATTCTACAAGAAAGTTGAAAAGAATACGAGCACGTTCTAACTATCTTCAACATTAACTAAATCCATGACAGATTGTTGATTCTTTTCTTTTGATTAGTTGTACCGAGTGAAACATATAAATAAATATGCATGAATGTATGAAAGATTGAATCGGAATACGCATGAGATGCATTAATGCAAAAGGCGCAAAATTATTTTAAATTATTCCTTATTAATTCATTCATTTAAATCGGAAGTGTGGAATATATTAACGCGCGCCGCACGACACATTATCGATGCAAAATTCGATGCACGGAGCGCAAAAAAGAAATGTACCGCAAAAGACGCGCAAACAGAATTTAAATACTTGATACACTGATTAATTTTTTATGAGAAAGTCTTAATTACGAAATAAATATTCTTATCAAACTAATCGCGTTTCCTCTCCCCCTACCAAGACTAAAATTATCGGGAACTATCGCAATATTTCGTGATTTTGAAATATTGAGTTTTTTAAATATTAAACACTTTCTTGTAAATGATCGATTTAATTGGCTTTGAACGTTGAGCTCTCACGCACAATTCATCTTCTCGGGAAACTTCCAACAAGACTGCGTCGTCGGACCACTCTCACAAGTAACTTTTGCAGACGATCAAACAAGTAGCTCGCACTATAATGAAATGTATCGCGCTGAGCGGTCGCCTAAGGAAATGCACAAAAATGCATATTGTTTTCCAATACTGTTCCACCATTTGGCATTCCTGATAACGTGCCACCACGTTTGTTTCCGCTATCGAAAAATACCTACACTAAGACCTAAAATTTTCTTGTCATTCTTATTTTTGCGTGTAATGACAGTAAATAGCTTCTTAATAACAAATAATAGAAGCAGTAAATTGGTGGACGGTTATCGCAGTGACGACTTCTTATTCCAAAACGTCGAACATATGGTTCAGATCGACGTTCGGGACTAATTAAATTGCTTATTTTATTGTTACTTCAGGAACACACTCGGCGAAGGAAATCATGATGATCGATTTCCCCGCTGTGGTGAATCGCCGCGGTATGTTCGTGCTGTCGCGATTTTACCATAGCAATAGCCACTGATGCACTTCTCACGGATACACAATACGTTGGACGTAATGAACAGTCGCGCTCAATTTAAATAAAGGCCACAACGAATTTTAATCGAATATTCCGGGGAGAAAATGCATTTCCTCCTTCGCGTATGGCCGGTGTCCTCCAGTTTTCACGAAGGGCGCGCTTCGCAAGACCTTCGTTTCTGCTCCAGAATCGGTAAAATCTCAATGAAACTTGAAGCATTCGGGTAGCAGGGGCGAGGGATGTCAAATCGCCCGAATGATGAGCGACTCAAAGAAAACATTAACTTGTTGGTTCAAACGGAAACAAATATAATTCACTGTCGTCGTGTACGGTTAAAATTCGATGCGTCGTTGATATTTTCTGCTCGTATATACACATCGCGAAAACGTGACGTCTACGCGAACGCGCCACCAGCGTGTATCTACCCCAGCTTCGTACAACGATTCCTTACAGTTTTATTTCTCCATAGCGATCACTCCATTTTGCAATATTGCATGCCTGCCGAAAAAGAAGAAAAAAGGAAAATGAGAGATATATCAATATATCTTATTGCGGTGTTAAAATTCTCACGTCTCTAATCAGATCGTGCCTGCCAAACTCCTTGTTTTGTAAATCAACTAAACGATTTATGTATAGTTGACAAGAAGAGAAAAACCAATAAGAATCAATGTAAAGATTTCACTTGCAAAACTAACTGAATCATGAAGATAAAATACAATATTATAAAAAAAAGTGAGGCATCAAATGGACTTTTGCAAACATTTATGTTACGCTTATATTTGATTATACATATATATATACAGGGTGTCTCACACTCTTCTCCGGGCATTTTGTGAGAACGTAGAACAGATTGCGGTGAACATAAAAGTCTTATACCGTTTTGCAATAATTCTCGCAATAATTTTCGAGATATTCGCAATAATTATCGAGATATTAATTGTAGAAAATTTATGAATGATCATGCAGAATATGGTAAATGAGTTATAGTAGCGATGACTGCCGTCATGTACTTATACTTCAGGTCAAATTGAACAAAAATGTCCTCTACCATTTTCCAAATAATCGCATAGATTTTTAATTATTAATTAAAGAAGATTATTGCACGATTCTGCGTGATAATGCACTCATCTTCTTTAATTAATAATTAAAAATCTATGTGATTATTTGCAAAATAGAGGACTTTTTTGTTCAATTTGACCTAAAGTATAAGTAGACGGCAGTCGTCTACTATAACTCATTTACCATATACTGCATGATGATTCACAAATTTTCTACAATTAATATCTCGATAATTATTGCGAATATCGCAAAATGGTATAGGACTTTTATGTTCACCGCAATCTGTTCTACGTTCCCACAAAATGCCCGAAGGAGAGTGTGAGACACACTATATATATATATATATATATATATATATATATATATATATATATATATATATATATATATATGGATTATATGTATATATATGTTTAACGTTTTGAGTGGATTTCGCAAATGAGATCTCGCTTTATTGACTTTTCTCGTCTTGTCTATTCTTACCAGGTGTTACAGACACTATCCAGTCTATATAGTCCCCAACACGTGTATAAATACTGGGTGCGCCCGAATCGCAACCTATACCGGCAGATATAATGCTGGTTAATACCATTTTATATGTGGTAGGATTTTCCCACAAGGCTGGTCCGCCGCTGTCCATCTGCGAAAGGTTCGGAAATTAGAAAATGCCGCGATTGCTCGGTGCCTCGTGTATTACGGTGCCGGAACAATGTCGGTCTCGCACTTGTCCAACGCGTTAAACACCGTGCTGATTTATATTGATCGTACAAGACATGGATCCGGTACGGATACAGTGAGACAAATGTAATTAGAGTCGCGTGTGTCCTGCAACTGGGTTCGAACACTCGTTCTTTGTTGTTGATCGCATAAATGATTTTTTAGACGGAAATAATTGTACTTTGTACTTGAGAGGACACGGTATCATCGGTGATCATCACAAAATTACGTTAATCTACGAACAATTCCACGATACCAAAAGAATCTCGTTCCCTTACCTGACAAGAATCCTTTCCTGAAGTGTAAGTACACATATGACTGCGTGTTATCTGTTTATTAGGATAGTAGTATTTCGCGCATTGTTGATTGGTAATTACACTCACGTCCACTTCGCGCAGCACGTTCGATTTGGCACCGCCAAAATCCATCAGACCCCAGCCTGATTATCAAGAAGAATTAAAGCGGACAGTCGTGTGTAATAACGATGAGAATGATCGAGAGATACTAACCCAACAACGTCACGTAAGAACCGCTAAACGAGTCGTATCGATGCTGAAATGGCAGACAGGCCGGACCGATTTTGATACTATAATCTATCGTGCCGACAATTTCACAAACAGCTATGTCGTTGTAAATATCTCGATACTGCGGATGTATTATCCATTTATTTATAGGATACATTTTAGCGGCCGGGGTGTCAGTACCTATTTAATATAATGCGAGATACTGTATATTGAGTCGATCGTAATATTGCACGGAAAAAAAGATTTTGTGAATTAACCAAATATCTAGTTGAATATAAACGATCCAGAAATTCTGATTGAAGTAACCTAAATTCTGTTTAAGTTAACAAAATTTTTGGTAGACTAACCAAACATGTTTGATTAAATAACCAAACATGTTTGGTTAGTCTACCAAAAATTCGGTTAACTTAAACAAAATTCAGGTTACTTCAATCAGAATTTCTGGATCGTTTATATTCGACCAGATATTTGGTTAATTCAACCAAATCTTTTTTTCTGTGTGGTTCATACCGCTTATCTCCTTTTTTTCGATTTGTCTTTATAAAAAATATTTTACGTGTAAGATATTTTCCTAAAGAATTAGGAATATATATTACATTAGGCTGTATGAAACTCAATCGCACTTGTTATTGATAATAATGGCTCATATCCTCAACTAAAAAAATTTTTATTTATCGACTCCTTTCGCGAATGTTAAAATCAGTACGCGCTATCTTTGTCAAGAATTGTTTCCTCAGCAGGTGTTTCCTCTACATGAGAAATCCCGCTTTTATATTCTGTAACATTTGGACGTAGTTATAAAAAATCTGGAAAGATTGGACTCATTGAAGGACAATTTTCTCGTGCGCATTTATATTTTATGTAAGAGTGAGATAAGATATAGCTGCACGGCATAATTCGAGCCTACCAGGATTGTAAATTTAAACTTGATTTTACCTGTAGTAATATCATGCTCGCCGACAAGCACTCCGATTTCTTTAATATTTCTCCCATCCACACAGTGAGCCGCTGTCAGTACGTGCTTAGGACTTATTATGGTCGCGCCGCAGAACAATTCCGCTCGCACGCCGTCGACGAGACCAGCCATCATAGGATATTCGTTTATGCCGGTTTCCTTGCCGCCAACTATCTTGCTCTAAACACACAACGAAAAGTAACGACGAACCCTTCGCGTGAACTAGACTCGTTCAACATTTACCCGCGTTAATATGTCTAGATAACTTTTGCCATACATAAGATATATAAGTCTCAGAGTGAGGTTTCGTATCATTGATGAAAGTAAGACAAACAAGGACTGACATCCTTACTGTCATAGTACATTCGTACTTACCGGGTTCTTCCAACCGCATTGACAATTGTATTCATCAAACGGTTTCTCCGCTCGTGCCTCACACAGAAATGTGCCTCCCTTCGTGGTATACGGAGAAATAAAATTCATAGTCACGTCCATCCCCTCACTTGTGAACGTGCCATAGCCACAGTATTTATCAATGCTTTTTCCAGCAAACTGAACCGAAAAGTACTCTTCCATGCAATTTTTGTTCTATAAAATAACGTGACAAGTCATTTATTCTCCTCGCGTTTAATTTCTAATGACTTGATTGTTAATATAAACACTGGACTTTAGTTGGACTAAAGTCCAGTGTTTATATCAACAATCAAGTTAGATACCGTTAGATGTATCCAGATAGCTGTATTCATGCCTTTTATTACTCTTACGAATATAAAATATTTTGCAACGTATATATATATATATATAAAACAACTTACCGCAGGCATGCTGATATTACAGTTGATTTTTATGGGATAAGAACTCGTCATTCGCCATGTGCATTGGTTCTGGCCTCGGTACGGATTAGGATACTCGTTATTAAATACATAGTAGTATTGTCCAGGAACCAAGTTTTGAAAATAGTCGCACTTTGATTGCGCTTCGCTCAGCGTCAAAAGAGACAACAGTAGACCAAACGTTATCACGTTGACTAAGGCGAAATAATGTTCTCATAATTATACCGCCGTATAGATCCTCTTAAAATGTAAGCTTAATTATTTTTTTTAGAACAACAATCTAACTTTGCCGTTGTAACGAGTGCCCAGTTATCAAAGCTTTGCGCGAAGTTTATTGAGTTCGATACAGAACTAAGATCTACTTGGCGAACTTCGCGCAGCTCGATTATACTTACGTTCAAGATTACGGAAAAATGAATATACAGGCATACTGAAGTAAAACTTTAGACGTAAAGTGCCCATGTTATTTTTTCATTAATGAGTCTTTCATATCTGTCGGAGTTTGTCAAAGTTGAATTACTTTATGGCGTTTCAATGATTTAAGCTCGTATTATTAGTCGTTATTTGCCTCCACATAAGATAATGAGGTCTGAATTTAGAATTAGATTAAAAATTTTTTTTTTTTATTTGAGTCGTAATATTTGCGACATTGCATGTAAATCGATTCAGCTAAAAAATTCACATCTAACTCGAAATTCGAATCTAATTATCTCACTTGAAGCAAATTTCAAGTAACTACTAATACGACTCTTAAGGTTGTATTAATAGTTGTCATTTGAAAAACTTATGTTATATGAGATTCTCAAATTTCTATTCTAAGTTAGATTCAAGTTTTCCAATTAAATAATGATATTTTCTAATTAAATAATAATAAATTTATATCTGTAGTTGCGATTTAACTGAAAAAACTTTCATCCAACTCTGAATTCAAATCTGAGTATCTCACTTGAGATTTAAGTTAATAACTATTAAGACGGACCTTAGGTTCGTGATAATTGATAATTGTCATCTGAAACTTGTCCCATGTGAGATGCTGAGATTTTTATACACAGTTTAATCCAAGCTTTTCAACTGGACTTATGATACGCGTGACACTTATAACTGTAATCACAATTCAGCTGAAAAACTCGCATCTAATTCTGAATTCAAATCTGAGTATATTACTTGAGACGAGTTTCAAGCGGAAACTATCAGCTTTTGCGATTCAACGATTCATTCAAGTTGAGAAGTTTGCGAAATTTCTTCGTTGAATGCATTGGAAGCCGTGCTACTTGCCAAAGCTTACAGAGCAGATACTGATCGACCGAACATCGATGCGCCGTCTAGTCTAGCACCCGCCTGTATAGTCACTTTTACGTAATCACGAAGTACACTCGCGCGTGTATCTCCTTTTGTCCGTGTTGCGAGGAATACCTGTTCGCATTGTGCACCCGTCGATTAATCCCCGGCGAAACGACTTGTTCTAGACCGGGCGCTTTAAGAAGTTGACTTATATTGTCCCGCACAAACAAACGCGCGCGGTAGAAGAAGCGCCTGCTTTTATCCTGACATGGAGATAAAACGAAGCGGAAACTGATAATACGCGAGCTGCCTTATCTCGCGGTTACAGCTCGCGAGCGGATTTATTATCTTCGAAATAGCATAAATGCGAAGTTTCACGAGACACGCACGTCGCGAATATCTCAGGTGTGAGAAGCGCGGAGACGTCCGCCGTTGTCGGCGTAACCATGAACGAGATTCTAACAAAAGACGCAGTTCTTGCTCGAGATACTGTCGGTTCGGCGTTGCGAGATTCGCGGACGCTTACTCCGGCCGACTATCGAGTCCAGGTGTCATCTTGACAGGAGGAGGATCTAGGCGCCCGTTATTCTTCGGTCGATAAGCAGTCGAAAGCGAAAGGCCCCGCATACGCAAATAACGCTTCTAAATGCGAAAGCACGTTCTTCATTCGATTTTCCACAAACTTCGCTTCTCTTCTTTTTAAGGCTGTACTTCACTTGATAGCAATTTCGATCGTCTGAGATTCGACACGTTGACCGCCGCCCTAATTTCTATCGATCGTACGGAAAACTTCACTGATTGAGTTACTAAAGATACGATGGATAATCTCATTCGAGATGCGTTTAACTTTTAATTAATTTAATTAATTTGTTCGGTGATGTGAAGTGTGCTTTATGGGCGACTCAATGAGACGCGGTAGAATATCATAGCGCCGATCACGGCGCGTTCGGTCGGGAAGTGTGTCCACGAATGTAAACGTCCTCCTTCATTAATTCGTGAAACAGTAATACCATGTAAGTTGCAATAATGTTCTTATTTCGCCAAATTGCTTTACCCTTGTAAGCTCGTGGTTGACAATACATTATTATTAGAGCAATTTACACAAGACTTGTCTTATCTTGTCGTAAAAATGGAATACATACTATATCTTTTGTGTGTGTCTGTGATGTGTCTGTGTATGTGTCTGACGATGTGTCTGTGTGTGCGACGAATAATTATAATGATTAATATTTTTTTTTTTCTCCGCATGACGTCTTCGTACCATTTCGCAGATATACCCGACGCAAAACGCCGTCGCGTATCTCTCAAAAATGTAAAAGTCGAACAATTAATTGACGTACGAAAACAGCTGAATAAACAGATCTTTCACGGATAAATGCTCCTGTTTTGATATTTTATCAAATAAACTTCGCACGTCACGCCACGTATATTTGCCTTCTGATAATTTTGTCATTGCTGTGAAAAGTCGTCGGGCTGTACTTCCAGAAGTCGCAGCTGCAGAGGCAACTGAATCCTTCTCTGATTCGAAAATTATATTTTTCGTTGTCGTGCTGAGAAAAAAATGTTTGATACTCTTAACTATATAATTATATAGAGAAATAATTCCCATAAACCATAAATTTCGTGATCAATAAAATAATTTTTTTCTCAAATTCGACTATAATAATAGTGATAATAATCTTACGTGCATATTACTACTACTATTATGGCTTGGGCCAAAAGTAATTATAATTTTAGTTAGGTCAACCATTTTTTTCTTTTGCGGAAAATATCGCGCTTCAATCATAGCTTTGACTGTAACCGATGGCTGTAACTGTCTCTCTTGGTGAAACAAACTTGACGAGACAAGCTGTAGAAAAACTAGAAAAAAAGGCGCGTGTCTCATTTGTTTCGAGAAATCAGTCCTTCAAACTTGCCTCTTTGTTGGCTCGGAATTTCAGTCAACATTTTTCGCGCATTCCGCGAATTGAGCGAATTCTAATCGAAGCTGTCGTTCGTTCTTTCAGAAATCTTCGTCGCCCGAGACCATATTTTAAGAGACGTTACAGTTTACTACGTCTCCCCCCCTCCCGACAGAATTCAAGGTGAAAACGCTCTGAGATATGTTCGCGTCGCGACATATAAATTACGGATTAGTTACTACATTATTCACTATAGCACTCCCGCGCGCGCGCGTCTTCCCCCGTTAAATCCCACTGTAATAAAATTTATCACCGCCGGATTTCAAAGAGATTTCTCTCTCGCTCTCTTTCTCTCTTTGCGATTGTAATTTCAACATTTTTCTCGTGTCCTGAGAAAACAAAAGGAAAACATTTCTCAGGATCGATATTACGAAGAAGCGTTAATAAACAGCACCTGTTTGCGCTTGATATGGAGAAATCTAGTTTATCACTCGAAGCAAACACGTCTTTTCAATTATTTCGCGCGACAACCAAATATAATCGCAATTAAAAGGAAAGAGAGAGAAAGAGAGGTAAAACGTGACAGAGCATGTATAAAGCTACATACTCGATATTCAGGAAGTAAATCGGTTACATGTACATAATTCAACGATCTATTGAGTTCCGCATGTATACATGGGGGGAAGTTTGCTCCGTGGACGAAGTTTTCGGTTTATCGAGCTTCGCGGACCGTCAAACTTTGATAAATGATGATGTTAGGCAAAAGCAGGCACAATGTACAACGTAACTTGGTTATAATTGTCATTATTAGGCTTCTAAACACTCTGCAAGGAATTGAGGGGAAGACGAACGTGTTCATGCTATTTCCGATAGATTGTCGATTATCTCTTCTTTTGGTTGTACACGGAGAGAATATTATAATTCTTTTTCGGCATAAATTCCTCTCAATTTTATTATGCCTAGTAGTGTAGAAATAGACCGTCAGCAAGATCTATCGTATTAAGAAACATGGTAAATTTCACCTAAAATTTTTCTGTTTTGTTTGACGTGGCAAACTTTTTTATTGCATATATGAAATGAAAGGATAGTCAATTACTGCAAAATGTCGATCTATTTGATTACAAAATAGTTTTTATTATGAAATTCTAAAATCAGATAAATTTCAGTTGAAAAATCTCTGATGACATCCAGTCAAGGTAATGTTTAAGGACCGATAAAAGTCTATATAGGTGTAGTGGTGTAATCAGAAAAGTAAAAACTTGCAACTATGACTTACATAGTCAAAAGTATAAAATTTATTAGTCAAAACAAACATTCCTGGCCTCAATCGGGCCCTCTTTAGTGATGGATAAAAAATACACAAACTTACATAATATAACATGTCAAATTATATAAGTCACAGTTGTAAGTTTTCACTTATCTGATTACGCCGCTACGCCTGCGTATAAGTTTTTCTTGAGCCTTAAATGTTTCCTATAAAATTCTCTTTGTATGACGAAAAAAGTATGGACATGAAAGTATATACATGGATATGTGAGAGACTGGTTCGGAATATGCATGAGACACATTAATCCAAAAAACAAAATATTATTTTAAATTATTCGTCGCTTATCTCATTCATTAAAATCGAAAATGTGGAATATATTAGTGTGGATATATATCCGCATGACCTGTTATGATATTTTGTCGCAAAATCCGATACGTATGCAGAGTGCACGAGAAAAGCAACGCGACAAATGGACACTGAACGCACTTAATACGCTAAATGATATTTGGTGAAAAGATAAAATATGAAATAACGGTTTGGTAAATGGTCAATTTAATTAGCTTTGAACGTTGAGTTTTTACGTACACTTCATCCTCCCGGGAAACTTCCAACGAAAGCTGCAACGACGGGACACACTCGCAGCGTTGCAATGTGCAGTAACGAGTAGCGTTTGCGAACGATCAAGTAAGTGACGCGCCGTGGGCTTCCTTGATAAAATGCACAATAAAAAGCGCAAGTGTTTCCCGATACTGTTTCGCCATTCGTGATAACGACTCGCCATTTGTTTCTAATGTTACCTTGAGAATATCTACACTTACGCTTCGTTGTTATTTTCACGTGCGTAATAACATTAAATAGCGTTCCTGGAATTAATAAATGGATGGATAGCTTGTTTGACGACAGACGTCGAGCATGTGTGCGACCAATGTGTTCGGAACAAATTGAATTACTTTAAATAAATAATTATAACAAAGCAAATGAGAATGCATCGCCGTTAATTTAGCGCAAAATATCATATATTCAATATATTATTGTTTGTATCAATAAATTATTGTTGTTGTATGTGTAAATATTACGGTCTCAGTTTAAATATTACATTATTATTGCCTACGTTTATGTAGCGCAAATACGCGATATAAATGCATGTAGGGAGGTACCGAAAAAAAAAAAATTATCATGCAAAAGCAGAAAATACACATATGTACGATCGGACACATCAATGTTATCCTGCGACTCCTCGAGTCGTTTCGTTTTTCATGAATATGAAGAGATGAGAGCGATTACGAACTAACAACTTGCTATTTTTCAACAATTAGCTAAAAGCGGGAAGATATACTACTTAAATATTACAGAACAATTCGATCATTGAATTTATTTGCATGCGTTTTGTCGCGATATCTATATCGCGTTGTTATACATGTTGGTACCAATATTTATAGTAATGTGCACGACGTTGCAACCTAAAATACATCACGTGTGTGTGTATGTATGCGAGAATAAACACGATGCAGCATTTTTATATTTTAGGAACGTAAAACGACTGCGCGCTTGCCGCAAATTGATTTAATTCGCTCTCGCGGCTCTCGTGGCTCTCGTTTTACGAATTAATAATTTTTCTTGTGTTACACGCGCGCACTGTTAACTTCATGTTAGCGTCATTTTTAATCTTGTTCGCTCCTCAAATCGACAATCCCGGCGGAATGAATCGGTGTGGGGAAACTCACGTTGTAAAAAAGTAACAGCAAGAGGCAGACGTAATAAGTAATTATTATTTATTATTCTTCTTATATTTTTCTTTATTCTCTCCTTACTTCAATTATTATATATAATTTATTTTCTTATTTTAACCATGTCATCAATTCTTTCCTGTCGCGAGTATATTATAAACTATTAACAAACTTAATTAAAATGTAATAAAAGGTTCGCTTACAAAAAGAAGCTACTAGGACAACTGAAGAGAGATATAGGCCTAGTTTAGATCGTGCACTTGATACGCGTACTAAATAGTTTAGTACGCGTACTAAATAGTTTATAAACTTTCTATTAAATAATCTTAATATCGATAATGCATATCAACAGCAACGCATTCTATCAATACAATATGTTTTGTTGATGAGTATTATACCAGCTTAATATACCATTGTTTATATATATCGATATTAAGATTATCTAATAGAAAGTTATTATTTAATACGCGTATCAAGTGCACGATGTAAACCCAGCCATAAAGCTCATCCCCTCCCATCACCATCAGTCGTTATTCATCAACAAACGCCGGGCTATCACACAGTCAAAACATTCAGAACCTTGAAGGCGGTCAAATTTATATTCGCGCCTCGCCGGCTTTTCCGAATGTTTCCATTCAGTTCCGGGTCGGCGAGCGACGCGGACTACGTGTCGGTACGTTATCTGTTGCTCTTCTACACGACCAAAACATTCGGGACCTTCAAGACGGTTAAACTTACCTTTGCGCCTCGCGGACTTTTCCGGATCTTCCATTTAGTTCCGGACCGGCGACACGGACCACGTGTGTGTTATCTATCATTTCTTTCGATCAAATTATTCTGTCGGTCAAATTATTCAAATTATTTCGATCAAATTATTCTGTCAAATTATTATATCGAGGTTTAATTAGTCTCTCGTCGGCATCGTGATATTTAATACATATCTTTGACTGAATCGTATTCACGCGAGTGTCAGTGTTAGTGCCACAAAGGAGCAGCCTGACAGACGGAATGCTGGATGCTGGAAGCCAGGATGGAGAACACAGGATATTGGAACGCGGGCAACGATACATCATACATTTGAAGGTATGTGAAATCATTTATTACGGAAGATTCCATTTAACGAACGTTCGACGAGTTTATCGGGAACTAACACATATCCGAGTCGAAATTTAGACCGACATTCACAGTCTGTCATAATTTGACAAATAAATCAAGTAAGTAATTATAGCTTCATAATTAAATAATTATAATTTCATAAATCTTCGATTCCTCGTTAATCTGTCCAACTTGTTGCATTATTTCATGCAAGAAACACATTGATCGAAACAGTTGGATAATGACATAAGAACTTGTAATTGTGCTTTCAATTGAAGATCATATAAGTTACAATTATGAATGCCTTTGAATTTAATATAATTCTTGCAAATGCTGATACTTATATCTAATAATGCTTTTTGGGCCGCTGGTCCGATCTTGTTTACATCTATCAATTCTTTGTCTTCACATGTCTGTTTAGCTTTGTTTTTATACGGAATTCAAATTAAAATTTCTTTGTTTAGCAAATTATTGCTAAACAGCATTATTGGACACATAACTGTTATTTTTTCCTTCACAGCTTTATATCAGCTCTTTTAAGAGCTATAAATCTCATCAAAACTTTCATAAAAAAAAGAAAAATTCGAAAGAGATGAGATTAAAACTTGTGTTATTTTACTTACCTACTTACGCACATATTGATCCTTATTAAATAATTTAACATCTACTTATTTACATGAAAAAAGAATATAGTTATGTTAACCAGAAAATAGTAAAATATGATATAGCTTTTATTTCCGGTTTCAGTAACCAATTCTTAATTCTTACGTTGACTTTTGCAACAACATATATTAGCATTACGATTCGTTGCCTAAAAAATGCATTTTTGAGGCAACGAATCGGCAGGTCAGCGCAACCAAGAATTAATTCTTGAAGCTAGAAAGAAAAGCTATGCTATATTTTACTATTTTTCTAGTTGACACAACCATTCTTTTTTTTCTTGTATATAAATATCGTTCAAATATATTAATCGTAAAATATGATAATTCGCAATCCTTAATTCGGATTCTGCATTTTCATCATTGAATCGTGGCTGTTGCGAGCTGTCAGCAGTCTAAACACGAAATTCTATTAAAATGTATTGGAACAATTGAATATTAAATTATTAAGAAATAGTAGAAGTAAAAATAGTAGAAGTAAAAAAGTCAAAATAAAAGATTATTCCAAGTAAAAATAAAGAAGTTCTATTATTAAATAATTCCTGAACGAGTGCTTCCTCGAGCAAACGGCAGTGAATAACTATCTACAGGATCAAGGTAAGCCAATAGTTTGTGTATCTCGAGATTCTTCATTGACCTTTCAAGTTCGACGCAAGTTGCAGGGTCAAAGTTGAATGAAAATTTCGACTCGGGTAAGAACGTTCTCAACAATTCCTTCTTTAAATCTCCACGCGGAGAAAGCGGCAATAAGTCACGATTTATAGCACCAAAGAAACACAATGTTGCGTATACACGCTGTATCTCGAGATTTTTTACTGGGCGACATTACCAGGGTTAACGTAGAATCTCAATTCGGGAGATGTCACGTAAAATTAATTCGCGACGAAACATGTTAACGAGACGAAGGGCAGGAAGACAAATAGATCAGTGCGAATTTACGGGTGATGGAGAACGACGTGAATCCCGGGATAGTCCGTTATCGTGCCATTTACAGCTTCCTGACAGATGTTACTTCTCCAAAGTGCGTTAAGACGCACACATCGGCCGCTTACGATGAATAATGCATGCGCCGAGATCCCGCGTGCGTACGTATGCATTTACACGCGTATATACATTTCGAGCGCACCGGGCCGGCACCGCTTGTAGTTGCAGCTACATGGATGCTGGACGCACGTCCCCCGGGTGAATCGATGGAGCACCCCCTCACCACCCACTCACCTTCAGTCTCCTGCCTACCGTCCGTGGCCTCCCCATTGGCATACTTCTCGCATCCCTCTCGCTCTCTGTCTTCGTGGCATTCATTCCGTTTCCTCCACCCTCCCTTTCTGTCTTCTTCTCTCTCTGTTTTCATCCCTCTGCCTGTCAATCTTTCTCTTTCCTTTCTCTCTGGCTTTCTTTCTACCCCCGTGTGCCGTCTTCGACCTCATCCCGAAACTTCCCACCTTGGATCTTTCTCTTTTCAAAGAATCTCAACCCCTCCTCCTCCCTTTCTCTTCTCCTGTGCTTACCAATTTCATCCATCTTTCTTCACCTGTCCTTTCCTCGCGCGACTCATGCGCGTTGCCGACTCGACCCTTCGTGTAATCTCCGCAACGTATCGTTCACTCTCCGTCGCTACTACCAGCCTCGTTTCTCTTCTTTGAAAGAGAGAAAGAGAGAGAGAAACTGCTGTATCCTCATATCTTCTTCCATCTCCACCGCGATCCCTCCTGCTACCGATGCTCAACTTTACGCTATCTCTTTATGTTAGTTCTCAATCCGTTCGACCTGACAGGGTACAGATCCGCGGCGGCAGATAACCGTCCCTCGATTAATGCCAGCGATAACCCCCGGCCTTTTCCGCGTTATCTTACGTAGGACGATACGTTCAATTATTAGATTTAAATGATTGATAGATATCCGAATATGTCGAGTAACGTACGTATGCTTAGTTTGTGTCAATCTTTCGAATGTATCTGAAATGCACCCGTGAACAATATATTTACTTGTTTTCCATTAATCAAAACGAAGACGTACGCGCGTCCAATGTAGGTCAAAGCAACGTGAAATATTAAAATTGCGCGACATCGACACAATGCGAGACTTCGTCTTCGGGGATAACTCGTGGGAAATCTTCGCGATTTGAATTTCGTCGGAGGAATTCCGCGCACCTCTCGATAAAGCGCGGCTCGAAGTCAGCGCGACGGACTTGCCCGAGCAAAATTAAATCGCGTGCATTCCCCGGGTGAGCCTGGGTCAACCGGCGCATTTCTGTC